CCTGTCATTGGCTAACCAGGCATCCACCCAGGGCCAAGCAGAGTGAAAAGAAAGGGGGCAGATGTGGTATCCACACAAGGAACATAAGCTTTGTCTCCTAAGTGACTTATGGCCCCAAGGTCCTTTACTCAGCCTTAGTTATGGGAGATTACAGCTTCTGAAACCAGGCAGGGCAGTCTCCAAAACTGGAACATTTAAAGTTGTCCCAGAGGTTCCTAAGCCTTTCTTTTTGTTGTTGTTGTCAAATACTTGTTTTTTCATTCTCTTCTGGTTAAATGTTTTTTTCTTCCGTCTGGTCCAAACTATTGATTTGATTTTCAGTTTCCTTCCTGTCACTGTTGGTTCCCTGTGCATTTTCCTTTATTTCACTTTTTATAGCCTTCCCTTTTTCCTTCATTTTGTGACCATACTCAACCATTTCTGTAAGCATCCTGATTACCAGTGTTTTGAACTCTGCATCTTATAGGTTGGCTATCTCTTCATCACTTAGTTCTATTTTTGGAGCTTTGATCTGTTCTTTCATTAAAGCCATAATTTTTGTCTTGGCATGCCTGTTATGTAGTAACCAGTGGAGACATAGGTATTCACCAGGTTGTGGTGATCTAGGTTACTGCCAATGTATCGGTATTGTGTTGATATATGTCAGGGAAAGGTCCAACAGGGAACAATGCCACTTGCTTGGCTCTCAGTTAGCTTTCAGTCACTTTCTCTAATACCCACAAGCAAATTGGGCCCTTGTGTTGCTGATTCCAGGTGAGTGGGTTTGTATATGTTCTAGGAACCTGTGGGCCTCTCCAAGGAACTCTCCTGTGAGGTTGGGATCTTCTCTCATTACCACAACCCCCACAGGTTTTTACTGCCAGAAGTTTTGAGGTTTTATTTCCCTGCATTGAATCCCTGGGTTGTGTGGTCTGTCTCACTGCCCACTTGTTCTTCACAATTATCTGCATGCAAATGTGGGACCCCTCACTGCACCAGCTTCTGCTTTGCCTGCCTGGCCCTCCAACCATAGCCTTGCCATGTGTCCCCTTTACCCTGGCTGCCCATCTCTGCCCCTCCTACCTATCTGAATGAATGTTTCTTCTCTAACTCCTTGGTTGTTCAACTGCTGTGCAGTTCAGTTTTATGGCAGTTTTGTTATTTTTTGGTTTGAAATTGGTTGCTGTCCTTCTTTTGGTTGTGTGAGGAGGCAATGTGTGTTACCTTTTGCCTCTGTCTTGGCCAGAAGTCCCCTCAATTTTCTTGAATTTGTTGAGGTTTATTTTGTGTCCTATCATGTGGAATATCTTTGAAAACATTCCATGTGCATTTGAAAAGAATGTGTATTTTGCTTCTTTGGAATGAAAAGTCTGATATATGTCATTTAAGTCCATTTGATCTAAAACATTGTTCAATGCCACAGTATCCTTGTTGATTGTTTGTTTGAAAGATCTATCCTTTTTTGACAGTGGAGTGTTAAAACTCCCTAATATAAGTGTGTTGCTGTCTATATCTTTCTTAAAGTTCTCCAAGATTTTCCTTATATTTTGGTTGCTCCTATGTTGGGTGCATATATGTTTATAACGTTTATTTTTTCTTGATAGATTCTTCCCTGTAGGATTATAAAGTGTCCTTCTCTGTCTCTTTTTATGGCCTTTGTTTTGAACTCTATTTTGTCTGAGATAAGTATTGCTACTTTGGCTTTTTTTCCTGTCCATTTGCTTGGAATATTTTTTCCAACCTTTCACTTTCAGTCTGTGTAGGTCTTTTGTTCTAAGGTGGATCTCTTGTAGGGAGCATATGTGTGGGTCCTGTTTTTGTATCCATTTAACTACCCCATGTCTTTTCATCAGAGTATTTCATCCATTTTCATTTAAGGTTATTACCAATAGGTACTTATTCATTTTTCACCTTTGTACCTGTGTTCCTCTCTGTCTCACTCTTTTTCTTCATCTCCTTAAAGCACTCCCTTTAGCATATCTTGCAGTGCTGGTTTGGTGGAAGTGTATTATTTTAGCCTTCTTTTTCTATTCTTTAGTCTGGGAAACTCATTATATCACCTTGCATTTTGAGTGAGAGCCTTGCTGGATAGCGTAGTCTCGGTTGCAGGCCTTTGCTTTTCATTACTTGGGGTATTTTTTTGCAATTCCCTTCTGGCTTGGAGTGTTTCTGTTGAGAAGTCAGCTGCCAGCCTTATCAGGGCTCCCTTTTATGTTATTTCCTGTTTCTCCCTTGCTGCCCTTAAGATTCTCCCTGTCCTTGAATTTTGCTGTTTTAATTATGATGTGTCTTGAAGTGGGCCTCCTTCAGTCCCTTTTGTTTGGAACCCTCTGTGCTTCCTGGATTTGAGTGACTTTTTCTCTCATCAAATTAGGGATGTTTTCCATCATTAGTTTTTCAAACATGTCTTCTATTCATTGCTCCTCTTCTCCTTCTGCTATTCCTGTTATATAAATATTATTATGTTTCATATTGTCCTGCAATTCCCTTAACTCCTCATCATTCTTTTTGAGTCTTTTTTCCTTTTCTTGCTCTTTCTGGGAGTTTTTTCTACCTTGTCCTCCAGCTCACTGATTCAATCCTCTGTTTCATCGAGCCTGCATTTGATTTCTTCTACTGTGTTCTTCAATTCAGAAATTCTATCCTTCATTTTCTCTTAGCTCTTGTTGGTAATTTCTACATCCTTTTCCATGTTGATATAGTTTTCAGTAAGTCCTCATAGCTTCCCTGTAGTTTTTGGTAATTTGCGCTTAGCTCGTTGAGCTTCCTTATAACCATTGTTTTGAACTCAGTATCTGATAGTTGACTTGCCTCTATTTCATTTAGCATTTTTCTGAGGATTCCTCCATTATTCTCCTTTGGGGATTATTTATTTATCTTCCAATTATGTGTGAGATTCTTCTTGTTTGCTTCTGCTTTTTAAATTGATCTCTTTGACTTCCCGACTTTGTGGTGTGAACTTCTATGGTAGGAGACCTGTGAGATTCAGTGGTGCAGTCTCTGATCTCCTGGACTTCATGCTCTTGGGATGCCCTTTATGCATTTATGTTGGTTCTCTGGATGTAACTGGTTTTTGATTGTTGTTGAGTCTTTCTTTGGTGGGTCTTTCCCTCCAGCTGGTTGACTGAGGGTCACTCAACCCACCAATGTCTTGTACACTGTTGTGCAGGCACTGCCAGAACCAGACCACAAAACCCAGGAAACAAATTCACAACTGCAAAAATAACTCCTCTCTGCAATGGCAATATCAATAGCAAAGGAGCCAGTATTAATAAGGGTATAAAGAGTTTAAGCCTATGATAAGAAAACAGAGAAATAAACTATAGTATAAAATCTAGTGACTTAATATGCACAGACTTGCTGGATAAGAAATGAATGTTAAAAAGCTATGCAGGAAATAAAATATCACTAATCATGGAGAAGACCATAGTTGATTTCGACTTGGTAGCCTCTAATATTTACCACTGTTTCTTCTTTCTGGATCTGCCTCCGGTGATGTCAGATCTTGACCCAGGGATGTACTGTCTGTGGCCGTCTCCTTCAGTTGTTTATCTAATTGCTCCAAACTCAGCTGCCAGGCTTCAGGCCCGTAGGGCAGGACAGAATCCCTCCTGGGGTTGGGGCTATTGTTTCCCCTCAGGCTGCTGCTGCTCAGAGGGGAGAGGTCTACCTGAGCAGGATGGCTGCTGCATATGTGGGATGACTCAGTCCCAGGATCCTGGAGGCTGCTGTCTCAGTTCTATTCCAAAGCTTCCATCTCCAGTCTCTTCTCTGGTGTCTCTAGCCCACTCTGCCCCCACCTTTGCTGGAGCCCAGGGTGAGTGGTAGCAAATGAAAATTTGTACGTTGGTCCTTTAAATAGCTCTTCATATCTCTAGTTATCCTTCTGTGGCAGAGAGCAACCCTGTTGCTTTTCACCACCAGTTGTTATCTGTGTGCTTTGAGGGGCTCTGGTGCTTTGGGTTATGGATCCCAGTTAGGGTTTAGATGCAACACTTCTCAGGGGGACCCAATTGTTTGCTTAAATATCCCTCCAGAACTGGTGCCTGTGGGCACACAGCCAGACCTCTGGAGTCTCCACTATACTACTTACCAGTTAGGTTGTGCTAAAGATGATTCTTCTGTCTGTCCAAGGTTCTAAGGCTTCTCTCTTGCTATTGTTCAGTTGTTTTTTCTGTGTGATTTCTTCACAATTTAGTTGTAATTCCAGATTGTTCCTGGGAGGAGGTTAGTGTGGCTTCCATTCACTCCTCTGCCATCTTGCTGGTCTCTCTCTCTTTTTTTTTTTTTTTTTTTTTTGAGTCTTAACATCTAAGTAAAAAACTACTGTTTTAAAATTTTGAAAACTTAAAGTGAAAAATATTTTGTTATAGAAATGAATTTACACTATATACATTCCAGGTAAATTTTGATGTTAAAACAATGTTATATAAGGAAAAATGACATGATTCTGAAAATAAACTTCAGAAGTCAAACATTTCCATTTTATTCAAATGCAACTGAAGCCATACAAAGGACAAAATACTTGCATTGATAAGCAATATACTATAGTTAAAAAGTTTGTGACATAAACTTTATAAAGTACTAAGACTTTATGAAGTCTTAAGTCTTAAAGAGAAAGAAAAGTGTGTAAGTGACCATGTATAAAATTGCAGAAGATTTGGCTATAGAAGATTTAGATTTGGTAAAATATAGGAGCCAAGTGTATTATACTTCATGTCAAAACCAAAGTCAGTTTAAAGAAAAATGGCCCTTTCTAAAAAAAACAAAGATGATGAGTTCTGGCCCTTATTCATGGACTACATGGAAATTTCCTAAGTTCCCTAGTAGTATTTTAAAATATATTTTAATGCTTTATTTATATCGAATAGAGTAGATACTAAGCCTACCTTGTTAATCTGATACTACACGTGATGTCCTCCTCAGCAAGAATTATATTTTTTGGAAGACAAAATATTAAAGAAAGGATTATGGAATATGATTCCTGCCAATTAATTCTTAGTTCTTTTCTTTTATTTCAGCACCTTCCCTGATAGGTACAGTGAGGAAGGACTGGGCATCCCAAAATAGCATTGCCCTATCATGGCAAGCACCTGCTTTTTCCAATGGAGCCACACTAGACTACGAGATCAAGTACTACGAGAAAGTAGGTCTTGTTTGGATCCTCCTAAAAAGTGACATATACATATATATGAATATATATATACACTGAGCATGTTATTATTCTGTTATCCTACCTTAAAACTCATTCTTTGGCCTGACCTCATGCCTACTGTGCCTTTGAGTACTCTCTGATTTACTATTGTGGATATAATTTCTTAATTAATTTGTCTTGTTTTGTGTCAGATTAACACAGAAGATATAAAATGTTTATTTCTTTCACGACTTGCTCTAGGAGTTTCACTATATAAAAAGAAGTAGTTACAGTTTTGCTGATATAACATTATTTCTAAATTCACTTTGGAAGAAAGGGTGAAACGGAATTACTATAATCTAAAAAGACTATGTGTGGTCATATTCCTTGCCAATGAATTCAAAGTTCGACTCTATTATAACTTACAAGGATAACTTAATGAATAAATAGAAATAGCTGGTCATTTCAAATTTTTCTCTACATTTGTGTCAGCTGTTTTATTTATAAGAAGCAAGCAAGATAAATCTGGTTAATAAATCAACTGCTAACCTTAATTTCCATTTTTGCCATTTACAAATGTTCTCAATTACTACATTTCCATGAATTTTATACTTACTTACTTTTATTATTTTCACACTCTTTCTTTATGCTCCCCTTCATTATTCCTTATCATTATGGTGGTGCTGCTACAGATATTGCAGCAGACCACATGTTCAAGTTTGATAGTCTCATTGTGCTAATACTATTCTAGAATATTCATAAGGAGAACATTAAATTTTAAAATTAAATGTAAAAATTATATATAATATTCGATGGTATACTACAATAAGAAAGAACTTGCATTTCTGTGTCTTACCAGAAGCAAAAAAATATCATAAATAAATTAAGGTCTTCTCTAAAAAAATATAGGACCAAGAAAAGAACCAAGTATTTTTCTATTCTATTGCTTCTGAGCAAATATAAGTTTGAAAAAGGGAGTAACTCAGAAGAACGGCTGAATCCATTTTGACATTCTAGTAATTTCAGCATTATGTGGTCAATGAAAACTGTCATTATTATTAATTCACATGGATAAACTCATAGTGTAAGACAGGAGGAGTTTACTGACTTTAAATTCGATTAGAGATTCTGCACATTAGCCAGGCCAGCATGTGTTTAGACATCTCCTTGCTCTACTCTTTCAAATGTTACTCTGTGTAGCTGTCCAACAATACACATGTGTTTTGTTCTCTAATTTAATAGATCTTCATCTATTCACAAATTCTAATTATTAAAAAGCGATTCACACATACATATAAGCAACTTTCAGAGGATGAAAATATTTCTCTGTGTTTTATAAAGGTTATATTTCCTAAACAGCAAATTGCTCTTATTTTATAGTCATATCTGTATCATGTTTGAATATGAAGATAACTTGCAATTTTCCAAATAAGGACAAATTATACAGATTCTATAAGAAAGGGAACCACATTCATCCAGTCAAAATTTTAGAAATTAGTAAGTAAAATATGAAAGATGGTGATTGACATAATATTTATGTTTTAATTATGGAACAAATAATATTTTGAAGAAGTTTATTCTAAAGAAAATGGCAGCGATCTAATGCTAATGGATTAAACATAGAATTGAAAGTCAAAGATTTCTAATTCATGTTTTGACACTGACTCTTGTTATGTTTATGGCCAAGAAAAAAAAGTCAATTAATTTCTCTCTGTCTCGGACTTTACACTTACAAAATGGAAATGAAGATATCTAATATCTTCTAATATGTTGTAAAAGTTAATTATAAACTTACTTGAAGATGAAAAGCACACTAAATCAGTATTAAATATTATTTAAGTGAGCATTAGGGAAATGTTAGCACATAATACAAAATCAGAACACAATAGCACGGGAATTGTGTAAAAGCTAAATAAAATATATTATCTTTTTATACATAAATACATAATGTACAGGCAACCGAAGATGTTAGAATATAAACCTTTCAGAGAGAGCATAGATGACTGACAGCATTAAAACTTTTCCCAACTATGACTTCAAATTCTAACCATACATTTTACCTGTCATCATTTATAATACCATTTCTTCTCCCAAGAAAAAATTTCTATAAAGCTTATAACTAGGGCAAATTACAATAGCATTCTTAGTTATAAATAATTTCCTTCTTTATTAGGAACCTAAATATCACTCAATAAGAAAGACAGTTAATTCTTGTATTATTATTTATTAATTATTGTATTATTTTCCCACATGAACAACTGTAACCCTGCTTTTGCCCCACTGTGTAAATGCAAATGATCCCATTTTTGGAGCACAGATATTCTTCCATATGTGTATATTTGTGTATGATTATATGAGTATAAAGAACTATAACATTTCTTTAGGAATAGTGTATATACAATATGCTCTTTCAAGTGTTGCTTATCGAGGTAGAGTGGGATGCAGAACAAAGGTGAGTGAATAAAGACAGAGGGAGGTAGCAGTGTAGATAAATATGAATAGATGGTTTAATGGATGGACCCTAAATAGCTTTGGTAGTTGTCTTAGATGGAGTTGCCCAAAAGTAGACCCTGAGACAGCAATCTGCATACAAGTGACTAAGGTAACTCTCAGGAGAACTGCTAAGGGAATGGAGGCAGCAGGACTGGGAAGGAAGATGCCAATCAAACTCAGAGTGACTAAGGGGAGCTCTGCAATCTAAATCACATCTCGGAGTTCACATTATGGAAACAAAGAAGCTGAGCTTATGTACTCTGATAGGATCAACAGAAAAGAACAGGAGAGAGAAAAACAGAAAATATCTTATTGGCTGGGGCCACATAGTAATCTTGTTTGGGATGAGAAGGAACAAGAAAGTACAGAGCTCAGAGCTGGCTTGGCTTTCAGGGACTGGCTGACTGGATACGCTGCGGTTTGGGTCTGGCAGAGCATTTTTTACAGGGACACGAGAGTTGTCTAAGTTTGGTTTGCTGACATGGCACTCAGGTAGGCACATCGCTATCTTGGGCCTAGAAGGTTATTTTAACAGAACTAAGACATCTGCTCTCAGCCCTTCAGTCGCCACCTTCAGAATGTTGCAAACCCTACTACACTTACAAAATATCAAAAATTTGCCCTGGCTGGTGCGGCTCAGTGGATTGCACACCCACCTGTGAATGGAAAGTTTGCAGGTAGGATTCCCAGTCAGGGCACATGCCTGGGTTGCAGGCCAGGTCCCCAGCAGGGAGTGCATGAGAGGCAACCACACACTAATGTCTCGCTCCCTCTCTTTCACCCTCCCTGCCCCTCTCTAAAAATAAGTAAATAAAATCTTTTTTTTAAATATCAAAAATTCCATCAAATATCAAACATAGCCTTCTCTTGTTTCTACTCTTCCCGTCTCTTTACCCTTTCTGTTCACATTCTGAATTTTTGCTCTCCTTCCCCACCATGGCACTCCTCTTGCTTCTTTGTTTTTTTTTTTTATATTTATATATCTCAAAATAACCTTAATTAGAGTTACTGATTTGTGCATCTTACTCCACTCTTTTATGAGCCCTGAAGAAGGGAGATCATTTTTTGTTGCTTTTGTCACCCAACCTGCAATCATTGCCTAACACAGCTGTTTTCTTTCAAGAGAAATTAGTAAAGTTCCTTTTTGTTAAGAACTCATTCACAGGAAATTGACAAAAGTCATCAGCCACTGTGAACTTACCCCTAGAACTCAAAAAAAGAAAAGAAAGAAAACCTCCAGGACTTCCTATTTCTACCTGCTCATAAGGGCACTACAGGGCTGTCCCTCAGCTGAGAATGGTCTGTTGATAACTAGAAAGTAAGCTCATGAGGGCAGGGATTTCCTTTGTCCACTTTTAAGTCCCCAAATGCTCTGAAAGACTCATATCCAATAATTCATTGACAGTAGTTGGCCAACTATACATCAGGTACTTTTTAAAGTCATTCACATTGATTAATTCCATCCTGCAACCCTTTTGAAATAAATGCTGTTACTCTTCCATTTTGTAGATGAACAAAGTAAGGAAACCAAGTAACTTTGCCAAAATCACACAGCAAGTAAGTGTTTGCTAACACTGGCCTTGCTCCTTACATGGCAACTGGACTTCTCTGAAAAGTCAGTGCTTTTCTGCTGATGCTGGTTTTTAGATTCCCTGAGGCCAAACACTTCATTAGTCTCTACTGCCCACTTTGCATCTGTAAAATGTCAGCAATAAAACATACCTGTCTCACCAGGGTGTTGTACGCTCCACTAATTACCAACTGGTAGCTCATTTTGAAACATGAATCCCTCATAACACTTCATTATTCTTATATCCAGTATTTAAAGACACTGACTGGTAAAGTCTTTTTCTTAAAGTCCTCTTGTTAATTCTCATCACAGTCAGCAGTTTTTAGATTTTGTTCAAGAAAACTCATGACAAAGAAAGCATTCTTATATCCAGATGGTCGATAATTATCTGTATAAAATACTGAATGGATACAGTCTGCTCTCGTTGCACCTAGTTCACTGATTATAGAATAAGGTATTACATAAAAATTTCATGTCATGAGAACCGTGTGTTGTTAAAAAGGGGAAGAGATTCATGGTAAGCTTGTCATCATGGGAAATATTTTCATCATTCAGGGATGATTTGAAGTCATTTCTTGTGAGGAAGGTGGAATTCATGACATCCTTTATAAAAGGCACATACTTCTCAAAATCAAGCATTGCACAGTAAGTCTCCTTCTCCAAACTTCATTCCTGTGTTATTCTACTTTTTCAAAATAGTTTTCACCAGATAATAATTCAATGAGGTCACTCATTGTTCTAAAGACATATAACTAGTAAACCTGCATGTTTATTTGATTCAAAATATGTGACACAGTTATTATAGAAATAATTGAAGAAAGAAAAACATCTTTGCTTATAAAATGGTCAATATAAAGTCCTCATTTTCTTTTGTTATACAGTGGCCCCAGATTATCCTAAGGGGATTGGTTTCAGGAACCCCCTCAGATATGAACCAAAACCCTTGAAT